TTTGTGCCCACGACATCATCCCCCAAAAAGTTGGTCCCATAGTGTAGCGCTTAGGTATATCTGCTGATAACAGAAGAGTTTCCCAAATATGGGATCAATATAATTCTAATTATTATTATTACTATTAAATATACACATGTAAATTTGAAGGTAAATGCATGTATGTGAATATATACTTATGTGTATATATAATACGTTTATATTTTTCCTTAAAATAAAATAGAAATGTAATGACTAAAAACAGAGAAAATTAGAAAAGAAAAAGTTTTTTTTTTTAAATGAGTGAGAAAATATTCCGTACAAACAAACCCTCACTTTTCTTGATTAGTTTGTACTTAAAGAGTACACACTACAGAGAGTGGGACAAGTATTAAAACGTGTCATTTTAAAATGACATTAAATCCAAACATGATTTAATAAATATACCTTTTTGAGTTCTATCCATTTTAAATGTTTGTTAAAGAACTTTTCTAAGACACAGCAACGTGTTAGTTTCTCTGTGTGTGTTCGTGTGTTTGTGTGTTTGTGTGACGCCTCAGTGTCTATTGTGTAAATACAACGGCATGTGATGTTTAAAAATCACACACTCTTCAGACCAAAGTGAATCAGACTTGGTGACGGCCTGTAGCAACATGTTAATGGATTTGTGTTATTTTTATTTTATGGCCCACCATAAACTGTTATTTGAACAATCGATTAATACGAAGTTTTTAATTAATCAATACGCCATTAGGGCCATAAAAAAAAAAAAGAATCAGACAAATGTAAGGCAGACATCCTCAAAATGATAACGTCACTGTGTATGTGTTTAATTCACTGCAGTAGAACACATTTATATATATATATATTTCCATCAGAGAACATGGTTTAATTTATTAATTTTAATTTATTTACAAGCACATTATGACTGAAGTATTTTCTTTAGTAATTAATGGGTCTAGAATAGAATAGAAATAAAAATCAAATTTGAGTTCAAATGTTCATTTTTGTCAGTTTTCATTTTATTCTAAATACTGCGTAAAAACAACAATGTTAAGGGATTTAAGTTACGATACAGGAATATACGTTCGTATACATTTACTACATTTCTACGGGTATGACGTCTGACGTATTCACACACACGTGCTACCGGGAGCATAAAGTTGACTTATACTTTGGTATGTAATGCATATCTACACAACGTCATGTGCTTTTATTGCCGGGCGTGTTCTCTTCGACCGTGAAGTACAATCCGATATTGTTGTAAGTGTATTATTCTTAAGTTTTTCTTAACTTTAACGCAACAAAAATCTACTGTGTGCCCAGAAAATGATGACGATGACATTTTGTATTTGACACTGAAGCCAAACAACATTTGTTTCCAGGGAAACCTCTGAGACATTAATAGAAAGAAAGAATGAGTCACGAAAAAATAGGAGTATCTTTGACTGGTTAACAGTTAACTTGGCGTGTTGTGAACGGGCACACCCTGCTGTTGATACTGTTGTCTAGTAGTTTCTGCCGCGCTTCTACACAGCCTTCAGAAAGAAAGAAAGAAAGAAAAGAAAGAAAGACAAAACTGTCGACAACATCTTACGTTCATCTAAGTTCATCTTACCTGTGTCGGAGAAGCAGAGCGAGTCTGTCCGGAGTCTGACGGGAGAGTGAAGACAGTCACCGTAACAAGGTGAATTTTAAACACAGTCTCAGACTCCTCGCAGGCTCCGCCCACTTTCATATTTTTTATTTTTTTTTATTGTCAGTTCCGCCAATCGCCTGTAAGCAAACTGGCTGGTGACGCATTCATGAGAAATCCGTAAAAAAAAAACTCCAAAAACTTCACTTTTACGTTTGGTGTCAATACATTTAAAACATATTCTTCTTTCGGGTGTTTTTTTTCTTCAAGTCGTCGTCTCAGCGAATCTTCTGCCTCTATCTCACCCTAAACAACTTCAACTTCAACTGTTGTACCAACAATCTTCGTGTCCTCTTTCGTGACATCCGTAAATCTTCCGTCTCCAAACTGTTTAACCGTAGCTGCCGCTCTGATTTTCCCCTCTCTCTTTCTGACCCTGAAATTGTCAACATTAAATCAAAACCGAATTATAATCACTCCTACTGTACGGGTTGATGAAGTTTAGTTAAATACATGACGTCATTACAAGTTTTAATCATGTAACAGTACCATTTTCGAAGCTCTAAACACAGAGTATCATGTTGAGCGACGTGAATTGAACGCAGCGTCATACACGCAAGTAGGCAAGGGGCGGCAACCGCTTCTGCGTTCGTCAAGAACTGCATTACCCATAGTTCAACTCGTGCGTCAACAGCAACAGCTAGGATGTTGCGATTTCGCTGGCAGCCGAGGATTGCTGTGGTTGCAGAGATTGAGGATCTGGGCTCAAACGTCTTGCCTGTATTTTGGTAAACGTCAAATTGTTATTTTTTTTTGTTTCCAATCCTCGGCGACAAACAGATGTTTGTTTTTTATATTTCTGGTCGAATGCGTTTGTATGCGCGTTAAAGACAGGCTGCATCGCGTTAAGGCGTTTAGCTAACTAACCCCCCCCCCCTCACACACACACACACAGTTTTGTGTTAAATTGGACGTAAGTAAATATCCCGACGCTGAAAAATGTGGGAACAAACAGGGACTTCACTCAAATGAGAATGGAAATATCTTTTCAGACAACACTATCGCACAAGTTCCACGTCGGACACGTCGCGGTGGGAGACGACGACGACGACGACGTCGTTGTGTTGAGTTGAGAGGATAACCTGGATAACCTTAACACGAAATGTCATAGAGCCTCAGCAGCTAGCACTCAGCTAGCCTGGTAATGGCTGGATGAGATGGAGGAGAAGGACATCATGTTGTCAGCATCGGTATCAGGAACGACCAGGGTGACTGAAGACTGAAGACCACCCACCCCCCCGGAGATGCTTTAGCCTCCTGCCTGGGTGTGTGTGTGTGTGTGTATGTGTGGTGTAATTCACTTACATAACAGCCTCTCTACGGTCTTACCCCGCCGCTGCTTCAACACAGCGGCTAGTGTTGGCGAGCAAATGGGAAATTTGCCACCAAAAATATCACCACCATCATCACCACCATCATTATTATCATTATTATTATTATTATTATTATAAGTGGGTGAAAGGGCATCGCTGCGTGTTGTGAGGCTGCCCAAACAGACAATCTCCTCTCCTGCAGCGTCACACTGACACTGACTCTCTCTCTCTCTGCATCAGTGCTACAGTACAATTCTGTGCACGGAGAAAAAAAAAACAAGCATCTCAGAATTGTGCGTGTGACGAAAGCTATAAACACTGTCCTCCTCCTGTCAACTGGACACGATGAGGAAGTTCTTTGATTCTCGTCGGGAGTTGGTGAGCTCCGGGCCTGGTTCTGGAGGAGGTGGAGGAGGAAGCAGCTCTGGGTCCAGTCACGCAGGAGCAAATTTCATTGGACGAGGCTTCACCGTCGGGCGACACCAAGTGACGGTGGAGGAGATCATCGCTGAAGGTGAGGAACGTCGTCGTACACCGATGTCTCCGTGTGTGTGTTCGTTCAGCCCAACACCCTCTGTGATGGAGCTGTGTGCATGTAACCCATGTCTTCAGGGCATTGGTTCGAAGCCAAAGGCCTGGTTTGTTCTGCTAGCTTCAGTGTCAGCTAAGCTAAAGTTCCTGCTAACTGTCTGTGTGATTGAGGGATGTTGACACATACATGTTACATTAATGTTGACCAATACTGGTATGTGAATCCAGACCACCTTATATAATTGTTCTTATTCCTGTTTTAGCTTTAGCATAGTTACCATAGCGCCACACAGTGGTAGAAGTAGTTAGCGCACCTGCCTTATATGACCACTGCCCGTTTAGTTGAACAACAGTGATACATGTAGGAATTGAGGAATTGAAGCTTTCTTTTTTAGTTTTTGGAGCAAACTGCTGCCATCTAGTGGAAGTTTAATTGTTCCACCTGCCACAGTCACATAGATGAAGAACAAGAGCAACAAATAAATAATATCTCTCAGTGATATGAACAGTCCAGGGTCGACCCTATCATGACCTGACCTGACCTGATCTGACGACTGCTGTGATTGGCTCCAGCTTCTCCAGCTAACTCTGAAAAAAACAAAACAAAAAACAAAGCTGACATGAACATGTGTATAATTTGCTTGAATGTTTAAAATTTAGTGTTGTCTTATTTTTTTCAAATTGGCAGCACATTACGTCGCTGCCTCACAAGGGGGCGATGTCTGTTGTCTCTAAATATATGGTTATATCGATCTACCAGAATAAGTGGGCTATTACTGTTTCACACTGTTTCTTCATTAGACCATGTGGTGTTTACTGTCAGCTTAAACTGTCTGGAGTGAATCTGTGGCCTGAGCTCTACCAGATGGTCGGTCCTGGATGTAGGCCTCGGCACAGACCCTGCAGCAACGACAATGACTAATGCAACACCTCAGAAGTCGTGTAGCATTTGGTCGCAATCGTCCATATTGAGGGAAGTCTGCGTGGATACAAATTGCTCTGTTGAAAATGTCGCGATGACCCCGGGGGCGACGTGACGCGAGAGAATCACGTCTCATCTCACGTGTTTTTGTTTCCACTCATCGTCCTCTGAACATGTTGGACATTTTTCTGGTTCTTGGTGCTTTTTCATCATCTGCCGTCTCTGTCGACCCTGCAGGTGGATTTGCCATTGTGTTCCTGGTGCGGACGAACCAAGGGGTGCGTTGCGCCCTGAAGAGGATGTACGTCAACAACGAGCACGATCTGCAGGTGTGCAAACGCGAGATTCAAATAATGGTGAGTGAGTCGCTGGGGCTACACGTTGTTATTTGCCTTTTCTCTTGCTCTCACCTCGTGTGTGTGTGTGTGTGGATTTACATTAACCACACGAAGGCCGCGGCGAAATGAGCGCCTGAACGTGTCGGGGAGTTGTTTGTTGACGACTGAATAACTCCGTCCCACAGTTTTATTCATCCCTCCTTGTTATTGTTGGACGTTTTCTTCAGCAGTTTTGTGAATGTTACGTAAATGTTTTTGAAATGTTTTCACAGATTGAGTCGTGAGAGTTATTTCTGAGGCCGTTATGGCAGAAATGTTTGTATTTGCTGTTAATTTAAGTGAGAATTGATTGGATCGAATGCGATCACTGTGTCCTACCTCAGCTTTTGATTTATTTACTATTTACTTATTTATCAATTATTGTGATTACCTGCTGTAAAAGTCATTTTTTGAGGTGCGATATTAACTTTTTGCCAATATCTGGTGTGACGTTATTGTCCAAAAGCTTAGTTTTTCGATTCCGATATAAACCGATACCGATATATGCAGGTAAACATCTTAGTACCCTACACAATGACGATTCTTAATAACTAGGTAAAAACCGAGTTATTGTGCCATGTCATTATCGGAGGAAAAAAAACCAATGACGATTCTTACAGATATTACGTTGTTATGCTAATATCGGGCCAATACTATCGGACCTTCCTACTTTTTGTGACTATTCTGTCCAACATGTTGACCAGCTGAGAACAGAAAATGACGATTCTTACAGATATTACGTTGTTATGCTAATATCGGGCCAATACTATCGGACCTTCCTACTTTTTGTGACTATTCTGTCCAACATGTTGACCAGCTGAGAACACCACTGGTACTGGTCTATAAATAGACATGTTTGTCATGACGGACCACCACAAAACCTTCTGTAATTTCAGCAGTCTTGGGAAATCACGATCGTCTCGCAACAGTTTTACAGCGTTCATTGGGTTCAAAGTACCGGGCGCCAGAACTTGTTCCCCTCCGTCAGGAGGAACCGCAGTGGAACCAGAGTGTAGAGTTACAGAAACAGACGATCGGACGCTCGTCCCACCTCTGAAACCAACACTGACATGTGATTCAGAGATGATGTCGGGTTCCTCTGTCTGTTCCTCTGTCTGTTGCTCTGTCTGTTCTTGTCTTTTCCTCTGTCTGTTGCTCTGTCTGTTGCTCTTTCTGTTGCTCTGTCTGTTGCTCTGTCTGTTGCTCTTTCTGTTGCTCTGTCTGTTGCTCTGTCTTTTCCTCTGTCTGTTCCTCTGTCTGTTCCTCTGTCTGTTCCTCTGTCTGTTGCTCTGTCTTTTCCTCTGTCTGTTCCTCTGTCTGTTCCTCTGTCTGTTGCTCTGTCTTTTCCTCTGTCTGTTGCTCTGTCTGTTGCTCTGTCTGTTGCTCTGTCTGTTGCTCTTTCTGTTGCTCTGTCTGTTGCTCTGTCTGTTGCTCTGTCTGTTGCTCTGTCTTTTCCTCTGTCTGTTCCTCTGTCTGTTCTTGTCTTTTCCTCTGTCTGTTCCTCTGTCTGTTGCTCTGTCTGTTCCACTGTCTGTTCCTCTGTGTCAGCTTTTTGTTCTACAGTTTTCTTCTGTTTGAGTTTCTTTTCTCCTTCAGACGTTTCTCTCTCTCTCTCTCTCTCTCTCTCTCTCTCTCGCTCTCTCTCTCTACATCTCTACATGAATATTCCAGGAAACCTTACAAACTGTGATCGTTTTAATTTCTTGAACTTTTCTTTTTTTTTTTTTTCTTCCTGCAGAAAGACTTGGCCGGCAACAAGAACATCGTGGGTTATCTGGACTCCAGCATCACGGCCATGGGATCACGTGACGTGTGGGAGGTCTTCATCCTTATGGACTATTGTAAAGGTGAGTACAAATGAATGAGTACAAAATGTCCGCCCTGCGCTTTAATGAAGTCACTGCTACTGGATGTCCGATATTATCGCCCCGATATTAGCATAATTATGTCTGTATCTGTAAGAATCGTTATCGCTTTTTCCTCTATTAATTCAAACTTGATAACGTGATGCCTGGCTCTAAAAATAGTTCAGTTCCCCAGCGACGGACCAATCAGACGCCTCGGTCTCTGAAGAACTTTTACTGAAACACAACTGGTTCTAAACTCCTTCATTTCTCTCAACCCAAAAACACCTTTTCCTCCTCTCACACTCTCCGCACGCTCTCGTCCTCATATAGACACACTCTCTCACCACACCTCCTCACTCCCACTCCCACACCTCCTCACTCCCACACCTCCTCACTCCCCCTCACTCCCACTCCCACTCCCCGTACATGTTAACTCCTTCATAACGCATGAATGACAAACATGCCTCTAGTCACAAGATGGCGGCATTGCAGCTCATTTTATTAATCGTATTCGGATTGTATGCAGTATTTCAATTCTGGGGGGGGGGTTAAAAAAACATCTCTCCTCTAGGGGGCGCATGGCGAACAATAATTGAGAAACTCTGTTTAACCCATCACCTTAGTGAGCAGGCTGCACTTCACTCCCTTAACCACCAGGACACCACTGCCCCGCTACATCGGTATAGGTTGATTTCGAAATTGGAAATTAAGTGTTTGGAGGATATTGGCATTTCAGATATCGGCAAAAAGTGAAAATCAGTCATGTACGAATGAATTTGAACTCCAGTTTGGTTGTTGTTTTTTGTTGAATGGTGCAGGAGGTCAGGTGGTGAACCTGATGAACCAGCGGCTGCAGACCGGCTTCACTGAGAACGAGGTGCTGCAGATCTTCTGTGACACCTGCAGCGCTGTCTCTCATCTTCACCAGCGCCAGACGCCCATCATCCACCGAGACCTGAAGGTGGCGCTTTTTTTAGCTTCAGTCTGTGTAGAACTGTAACAGAGTCTGCTGTAAAATCAGAAGAAGAGAAAAAAGTATTTCTTCAAAAACCCTAAAGTACCTGTAACTTTGTATAATGTAGTATCATGGTCGAGATACTATAGTATTTTTCTATGATCTAGTATCGTACCTATTCAAGGTTTTTTTTTTTTTTTTATCGTCAGACCAAACATCCTAAACATAAGGTGGGGCATCATTGAGTTTTCAAGTACATTCTTATTATTATCATAAATAATAACAATGAAAATAACAAAGGAAGATGCCTTACATTTAGAAGAAAACAAGGGGCCACCAGGTGGCGCTAGGGTGGCCTCAGAAAATTGGAGAATCTGCCAGAATCGTCTGACTCTCAAGTTTCCAACGTAACCTGAATGCACCGCGTGTGAGAGCTGCAACTTCGGCATTGTAACGCCATAATCTGTGTCGACCTGAGAGTTACCGCCCGTTATTAAGGCGCTCTATTCATTACGCTAGCGAGTGGTTAGCGAGTAGCTAATGGCTGTGTTTTTGACAAGAAATTGACCGAAGGAACAGAACGACAGTTTATTATTTGTTTAGTTTATTATTCAGTGGGAACAGACGGAGCTGAAAACATGTCTGTTAGTCATGCTAGTAGCTAATGAAGCTAATGCTGTTTGGCGTTGGCGTTTTGGCAGGTGGAGAACATCCTCCTTCATGACAAGGGCCATTACGTCCTGTGTGACTTCGGCAGCGCCACCAACAAGTTCCAGAGTCCTCAGACCGAGGGAGTGACCATCGTGGAGGAAGAAATCAAAAAGTTCGTACCTTCCTTCCCTTTTTGACCCCATGTGTAACATTTTGCTAACTTAGCGCTTCCCTGCAGCAGTAATTTGGATTTATTTACTTCATAATCCGTGGATACATTACACCCCACACACGTGGAGGTCTGCTGCTGTAGGAAATGTGATTTACACCATTAGCGGCGGCTCTCAGTCAGATTGATGAGCGCCGCTGTTTGAGCTAACGCCGTCCGCCGCTGTTCTAAATCTGTTATCGGTCTCCCTAATGTTGGTGCGTTCTTTCAGGTACACCACTTTATCATATCGTTCCCCGGAAATGGTCAACCTCTACAACAACAAGGTCATCACCACCAAAGCAGACATCTGGGTGAGTGACGTGAACTGAACACGACGCAGTAGGGATCAGTCGACCAATCAGTGTCAAGTTTTTTAAAAAAAAAATGTTTTTTTTTTTTCTTTTAGTTTTGATGAGAAAATAATAAATGAAAATGGAATTGATTGACATGTTTTCATTGTTGGTAACTTCTCTCTTTTTTATCTCCCTCCACCTCTCCTCCTGTTGTTTTCTCCCCTCTCCTCCCCCTCTTCTCTTTTCTTCTCTTTTTTATCTTCACTCCTTTTTTAATCTTTCTCTTCTTCCTCTCCTTCTTCTCTTCCTGTCCCTTCACTCTCTTCTCCTCTCTCGTTGTGGTGGTGATGGCCTCCTCCCCTCTGCCTCCCCCGGGTTGTTTGCTGTGCAAGCTGTGCTTCTTCACTCTGCCCTTTGGTGAAAGCCAGGTGGCCATCTGCGATGGCAGCTTCACCATCCCAGACAACTCTCGCTACTCTTACGATCTCCACTGCCTCATCCGTGAGTGTCTCTTCAGCGTCGCATGATCGTCAATGTCAGAACCACTGACCAAAGCGGTCAGTGGTTCTGAAAGCCTGACACCAATATCTTCTTTCTCTTCCCGTGCGTGGCCGTCACCAGGCTACATGCTGGAACCAGACCCCGACAAACGACCAGATATCTACCAGGTGTCCTTCTTTGCTTTCAAACAGGCTCAGCGGACCTGTCCCGTCCAGAACCTGAAGGTCAGTCGGTGCCGGTTGGTGCCGGTTGGTGCCGGTCGGTGCCGGTCGGTGCCGGTCGGCACCAGCCTCAGCTCAGATGTTTGGGTTTCTTTGACCTTCTCTCGTCTTTTCAGCTGGATCTGCTGTGGGTTCCTCTGTGTGGCCCACATGAACACAGACGTTCATCAGTGGCCCACAACAGAAGATACCCACTAACATCGTGCCGATATTATCGACACAACGTTAGCATAATTAGCTAATATCTGTAAGAATCTGTTATCGGTTTTTCCTCCGATAATAAAAAACCTAGATTTCACCAATTGATATTTGATCTAAAAATAGTTTTGGGGAAAAACAGCTTTATATGAAAGTAAGAGCCACTAGGTGGCAGCATTGCAGCTCATTTTATTATTTTAATATTTTATTTATTACAGATAAATAAATAAATATTACCAGGCGCTCAATAGTATTTCAATACGGGGGAGACTTCTGTCCCCTAGGGGGAGCATGGCAGGAAATAATTGAGAAACACTGCTTCAACCAATCACCTTAGTGAGCAGGCGGTACTTACCTTCGTTAACCACCAGGGCACCACTGCCCCGATATATCGGTATCGGTTGATATCGGAATCGGAAATTAAGTGTTTGTACAACAGCGGCATATCAGATGTCGGCAAAAAGTGTTGCTAACTTGAAGATTGACACAGGTTTATTTTACGACACTTTGTTGATACTGTTTTACATTAAAGTTGCTGCACAAGCTTCTTCATTCCATCAGAGGAACAATAACGGTCTTCCTGTTTCCGTTACTGCCTCCTAAGTAATAAACATCTTACAGTGTCTCAACCTGCAGGGCGGCGCTAAGTTTATTAATAAACAATGTCAGAGATCGTTATCGTCCATAAGCTTAACAACTTATTAAGTTTAAGTGCTTAAATCGTAAGCTGTCCCGGCTGAAGTCGGCTTCATTTTGGTAATGGTTCTGTCCACGATGGGCGGCGTTTTCGTCACGGTCTTCGCAAACAAAACTAAGGAAGGATCGTGTTTTTAAAGAATCAGGGACAGTCATGAGGTCATGTTTATTAGGGATGTCCGATGTTATTGGACGACTGATATTATTGGCCCAATAGTAGCATAATTATGTAATATCTGTAAAAATCTTTTTTTTTTCTTTTTTTTTTCAGTTTTCCCCAAATATGTTGGAATCGCTTTTGCAATGACGTTTATCGCAGTTTTAGGGGAAAACGGTTGCATATATCGGTATCGGTTGATCGGTTGATATCAGAATTAGAAATCGGGAAAAAACCCTCTACTGGCGTGGATCAACAGCAACTATTTTCAAAACCAAATTTATTGCTTTTGAAAATAGGGTTGTAAATTTATTGGGATCTTTACTCTGTTTATTACCCATGATGCTCTGCAGTCACAGTGTGTGTGTGTGTGTGTGTGTGTGTGATATGGTTAAAATATCTGGTACAAATACCTCATCAACTCACAAGACGGGGGTGACAGACAGGAGCAGCAGGGGTGAGGAAATTGCCAGTGGGGGAGGGGCTCTGATGACGTGCTTCTACTTCTTTTTTTTTTTTTTTTTTTTCAAATCCACCGAATTCTCCGATTCCTTCGAAACTTCCCGAGCCAATCAAAGCCAGCGAGGCTGCGGCTGCGAAGAAGAGTCAGAACAAACCAAGGCGAGAACCTCCCTCTGATATCTGTCACATCCTGTCATGAATCACCGGTTTAAAAAAAAAAAAAAACGTCTGACGCCGTTACCAACAAGGCCTAACGTTCTCCTCTGTTCTCCTCCGTTCTCCAGGCTAACCGATCCGATCCCCACCACCGAAACCTCCATCACTCCTCGCCAAAGGCCCAAAGCAGCTCATACCCAGCCTGCTGCTGGCATCCTACCCATCCAGCCGGCCGCCCTCACCCCTCGCAAGCGGGCTAATCTCCCCGGTGGTGCAGCTCAGCCCGTGGGTATGTACCAAAAAAAAAAAAAAACAGACACAGAAACGGGAGATTTTAGCACTTTAGGACATACGTGTCAAACTCAAGGCCCGGGGGCCCAAACGTGGCCCGCCAAGCTATTTTGTTTGGCCCGCGGCAACCACGCAGCAGAGTTTCTTGAACTAGAGAAATGAAAAGTTTTTTGTTTTTTGTTTTTACACAGCAATGAACAAATAATAAGACACATGTCTTAGTCTGTTCTGGACTAGTTAGTCAACTATACCAGTGACCCCCGACTGTTTTGGTTCAGACTGGACTGGTCAGCCAGTACCACCCGGTCTGAAGGATCATTACAGTTTAAAAATAAAACATCTTTTGGACTCAATTCTGTTTTTTATCCGAAGAATGACTTTTATTTTTAAACTTTACCAGAATATCGTTAAATAAAGAAAGTAAATGGAATGAAGTAAATTAGTAAAAATTAAGTATTTTTTTTACTGTCTTCTTTTTCTTCTTCATTCTTCTTCTCCTTCTTCTTCTTTTTCTTCTTCATTCTTCTTCTCCTTCTTCTTCTTTTTCTTCTTTTTCTTCTTCTTCCTCTTCCTCTTCTTCTTCCTTCTTTCTCTTCTTCTTCTTCTTCATCATTCTTCTTCTTCATTCTTCCTCTTCTTCTTTTTCTTCTTTTTCTTCTTCATTCTTCTTCTTCTTCTTCTTCCTTCTTTCTCTTCTTCTTCTTCTTCCTTCTTCCTCTTCCTCTTCTTCTCCTTCTTCTCCTTCTTCCTCTTCTTCTTCTTTTTCTTCTTCATTCTTCTTCCTCTTATTCCTTCTTTCTCTTCTTCTTCTTCTTCATCATTCTTCTTCTTCATTCTTCCTCTTCTTCTTTTTCTTCTTCATTCTTCTTCCTCTTATTCCTTCTTTCTCTTCTTCTTCTTCTTCTTTTTCTTCTTCATTCTTCTTCTTCCTTCTTTCTCTTCTTCTTCTTCTTCCTTCTTTCTCTTCTTCTTCTTCTTCCTTCTTTCTCTTCTTCTTCTTCTTCATTCTTCTTCTTCCTTCTTCTTCTTCTTCTTTTTTCTTTCACCAATCCTGCAGGTGTCAGCTTAAACCTGTCACAGCCGGCTGCCGCTCTGCAGTCACAGAAGGTGCAGACTTCAGCGCCACCTGTCATCCAGTCACAGAACAGTTCCAGTCATGCAGCAGCTCCACAGAAGCAGGTACTAAATCCACTGAACACACACACACACACACACACACACACACACTGACGGGCGATGAAGAGGGAGAGAGAGAGGCTCAGAGGTGTTGAGAGTTTCCTGTGTGTTTTTCTTCACTTCCTGTGAGCGTATTAGCCTGGTGTACAACTAAACAGGCTCAGGGTAAAGTGAAACTAAAGATCGTTATGTTGCGTTGCAAATTCTTTTTCTGACGTTTTTATTTGGTGACGCCACATGAGATGATTTTAATGTCAAATTTCAGTCGACTTAAAATGTGGCCAAACCTTTAACCTGAACCTTTAAACCTGATAATTATCGATTTCGTCTAGTGAAGAAAAATGTTTTCCCTTTTTCTTTCTTTCATTCGTGACTGAAATATTTACATTTATTAATATTGAGAAAATGTTTTAACGTTTTGTTGTGTAAATTATAAATTCAGTTCCTGATGTGATGGATGTTACTTGATGGATGTGATTTAATGTGATATGTGATGTGATGTGTGATGGATGTTACTTGATAGATGTGATGGATGTGATGTGATATGATATGTGATGTGATGGATGTTATATGTGATGTGATATGTGATTCACTCAGGTCCAAACTGTGTTTTTAGTTATTCACACAAACGACACAGAAACAGGTGTTTTTTGTTTCCGCTGTGGTTCTGTGTTGACCTCATACACCTTCTCATCCTTCTCCGTCAGCCTGTCCAACCAGCTGCAGCTGCAGCAGCAGAACCTGCAGTGACCAGAGGTGACCCTCAACCACAGGGACAGCACCAGACCACACCGCCCTGTGTGCTGAGCTGCTCCTCCTCCTCCTCCTCCTCCTCCGCTCAGCCGGCACCACCTACTCCATCCAGCCCGGCTGCACCTCAACGCCCCGCCCGACGCAAGCCGCCCGGTCAGAGCCAGCAGCCGGCGTCACCCTGCAGAGCGCCCCCTGGTCTGGTGTCTTCATCTCAGCAGCAGCACATGGTCCAGAGCTCGGCCGCTCCGGCTCCGTCTGCGCCCAACGAGATCGGCCACAAACCAGCGGAGACGGTGAGTGGACGACGGCGCCACCATCATCACGTACAGGTGTCGAGAGTCTAACCTTTAACCTTACGTTTGTCCTCTGCTCAGACTCCACCGGCGTCTCCAAAGACGGTTGAAGGTCAAGGCCACCACCAGACTCCAGGTGACGTCACGGCCGGCGGCCTGGACTCGCAGCAGCCGCAGGGAGCCAATGAGGATGTGGCGTTCCAGCAGTAAGACTGGACCAGAGGCGTTGGACGTTAGAACGTCGGCTCTTCTTCTCTCAGCTTTACCAAACACTACTTCCTGTGTTTGTCTCCGCAGGGTACTTACACCACAGACAGGCGCCGCCCTGCTGGAACAGCCCAGTGTTTCAGATGCAGCACAGGCCCAAAGCAACGCTGCCCCTAGTGGTTCCTGTGCCACTGCTCAGGCGGCTTGGAACCCATTTGACGATGACGACTTTTCAAACCTCGCTGCCGAGGAAATAAAACCAGAGGAGAAGAAGACCAAGGGTAAAGATGGTCATAAATATGTTTGTTTTTTAGAAACTAAAAAAAAAAAAACCTCAGTTAAAAAAGCTGATTTTTGTTTTGTTTTTTAGAATTTGAAACATCTGAAGAGTTGATACCTGGACTTCAGACTTCAACTGTGGAGAATGAACAGGGAACAGGTCTGTCATCAGAGAGAGAGAGAGAGAGAGAGACAGAGAGAGAGACAGAGACAGAGAAAGAGAGACTCACTGGTCTGAGTTTAGGGCTGAATCACAAACAACATCCATCCATCCGTCCATTCGACTGAATCACAAACAACATCCATCCATCGATCCTTCCATCCGTCCATTCATCCATCCATCTGTCCATCCATCCATCTATCCATCCGTCCATTCATCCATCCCTCCGTTCATCCCTCCATCTGTCTGTCCATTCATCCGTCCATTAATCCATCCATCTATCCGTCCATCTATCCATCCGTCCATCTATCTATCCATCCGTCCATCTATCTATCCATCCGTCCATCCATCCATCCATCTATCCGTCCATCTATCCACCCGTCCATCTATCTATCCATCCGTCCATCTATCCATCCGTCCATCCATCCATCCATCCACCGTCCGCCATCCATCCATCTATCCGTCCATCTATCCACCCGTCCATCTATCTATCCATCCGTCCATCCATCATCAGTTTCTGAAAACAAAGTACTTCCTATTCATTAAATATAAATCTTTTCTTAACGACAGACTTTGATGCATCAACAACCGATCTCTAACTTTACGTTATTATTTTATGAACCTCAGTTTAAACCCAAAATTGCGATGTCCGTCCCCCCCCCCCAAAGAAATTAACAAACGTTATTATTATAAAACACAAACCAAACCCTAACTCAGCCTGACTTTTTTACGGCGCTGCGTCTCGATGTTGCCTCCACGGCGGCCGGTGTGCGCTGCCAAAAAAACCATCTGAAGATTTAAAGTTATAATCCAACCCTTAATGCATCGCGTCCATTACTGCGTTAGGCTCTTGATGCTGCTTCCTGCGGTGATGTCTGTCTCCGTGCATCACATGAATAAATGAGCGAACGGACTTTTAGGGCCAAGACTCCTGACAGGGCGTGAGCTGCTTTTAACAAGTGAATTGACCTGACGCTGCGGGTTTGACTCCAGCTTTGTTTAAGAACATGTCCAAAAAAAATCTGATCTTTGATGGTTTTTTTTTTTTTTTTTTACTTTTGTGTTGATGAGGTCCTTGAACGCACCGTGTTTACAGATCTGTCATTGTCTCGAAATGCGTCGTTGGAGTTGTGATTTATCGGCACATCTCCGGAACTACCACAAGAAAATAGTAGACCAACATAGGGTCCGTGGGCCAAAATCGGCCCGCTTGCTTTAGCAACATGTCAAAGACTTAAAAAGTAGTTTCTTTCTATAAAAGAGAAAAAAACGACACTGAGAAAACTTTAACATCAAAATATTAACTTCCGTCTTCTGTTTTTTTCCACGATCACGACACACACTCTGATCACGTGTGAGCTAAACTTCTGTGACTTCTGCCAGCGCCGTGATCTTCTCATGCAGTCTATGCACTGCTGCCACCTAGTGGGTCTGTTTGTTAGTACATCCGTTAGGCAAAGCTTCGCCACATCGGTCCGTGGCCCCTCCCCTTTAAAAACATGTTTTACGTCTGACATTAAAAGGCAATTAAATAATATTTAGGCCCCCTGCAGGCCGCTCTAAACTGACCTGACATGTTTTTTGTTTTTTTTCCGTCCAGTTGAGAGACCTTCGGCGATCCTGGACGTGGACCCAGGAGCCTCGCTGTTGGTCGTACCGGACCCTTTCCATTCGCTGGAGATGTCGGATGCACCAGGTATCGGACGTTCATTTGAACAACTCTGCTTTTCATTAATGACTTTTGACTTCCTGAAACAAATCCAGGGATGTTTACGTCATGAATATTTGAAAAGCCCGTGTGTCGGTCGCCCTAAAATATCCATCGTCAGATGAATTAAAAAAAACCAGCAGGAGATAATATGAATAAATAATGCTTTAGAAGTACAAACAAACTGAACGGAGCGTCGGTGAGTCGCCGGTTTGACTCCGCACACAGTCGACAGGTTTGAAATGACTGCATTCTGATGCAGTTTGAGGAAGTTTGTTGTTTGTTTCTTTTTTTTTCTGGTTCTTGTTCTTGGTTCAAATCTTTTTTTTTTGTCTCCTCTCGTCTCCAGAGAAGCTGATTGAAGGTCTCAAATCTCCGGACACATCTTCTCTCCTGCTTCCTGACCTCCTGTCTCTGTCCGACCCCTTCGGTGGTTCTGTGGAGGAGGCTGCCAAAGGTGTGTGTGTGCGTGTGTGTGTGTGTGTGTGAAAGATTTTTCTGGTTAATTTAGAGTTAGGATTAGAATGAATCTGTGTGTTCCACTACTTTTTACTCTTGACCTTTGCCCCCTCCTGACCTGTCGTCTCTCTCTCTCTCTCTCTCTCTCTCCCTCTCTCCCTGCAGATGACTCCCTCCTGGGCTGCTCTCTGATCTCCGCCCCTCCAGCAGGGGGCAGTGCCACCTCCTCTGTGTCTTCTGCTCCCACCTCAGCCGCCTCAGTCCTGGATGATTTCAGTCTGTTGTCTGGAGACTCAGTACAAACTAAAGCAGGTGAGTTGGGGGGGGGGGGGGGGACCTCCGGGCTCCTCAGTTTTTTCCTCCCCCT